TATTGTGATGGCTGGCGAATTCACACGAATCAGTCAGTCAGTCAATCATAGAGTAAACTTTCCGGGGGGTGTATACGATTTATGTTCGCAGTGATTTATTGTACTTAGTCAGTGCTTTGAAGGTTATTTAAGCAATTTTATTTATTTTCTTTAAATATTCTTTTGTCCTTTTGCCAAGTTCACAAAAATTTCGAGGAATCGTTGTCGTTATTGTAAATTTTTGTAATTTCAGGACATTCGCTTCTCATGTTGTGTAAAGGATCTTTCCCCCCGGAACACCCGATTTTTTCTATAGCAGGGCAAATGCGCATGCGCTATGAAGCCGTAGATCACGATGCTAGATTGCTAGGAAGGAGCGACAATGTTGTTTTCAAATGTATAAATTTAAACATTTCAGACGTGAATATTGAGTAAATCTTTGAGAATCTACGCAATATATAAATTTATGTTATGCATGACGGTCTTTCAATCAAGTACTGATATATGTAGACGGTATATTCATTATACAGAGCTAGGAAGGAGCGACAGTGTTGTTTTCAAATGTATAAACATTTCAGACATAAATATTGAGAATTTCTTTGAGATTCTATCAATTCTAGGCGTTCAATTGAGTGCCGATATTATTTTCACGGCATACTCATTATACAGAGGTACAGTACGTAGGCAGAAGCGAGACAGTGTTGTTTTCAAGTATATAAACATTTCAGACATGAATATTGAGAAAATCTTTGAGATTCTACGCAATAATACAATATTATGTTATACATTTAATACCGGCAATCAATTGAGTGCCCATCGATATTATTTAGACCGTGTATTCATTATACATTGTCATTGACTGTATAAGTTGTTACATCACAGAATAGATGGCTACACTCAGTACAAAGAGCGAAAAATTGCATCAGATCTGTATCAGATCAATAAAGCATAAACAACTATTAAACAGAAGCGCGTAAACGTTTGTACGGCGTTTACGAAGAAAATAACTTGCGAGACTAAAGAAATCAGTTGAGTCAGAGCTCCTTATTTAAATATAAAGAAAGACGAGGAGATATCCAATGTGTTATCGCCAACGTGTTATCGCCAATCGCTTGGCTCGCCAACAAGCTTTATGCAATAGAAGAAAAAAGCAAGGAGGTACATGTAGCCAACGTGTACCGTCACGGACCTTGTCTTTGTTTACTGTCTAGCACAACGCCGTTGTCAACGGTGCAAATTCGTGTTCAGTTCAACGATAACTCTACCATATCGTACGAGAATCAATCTGTAGTATTCTGTACACAGAACTGTATCAAAGCTTGTCAAACCTGCTTTAATTTAAACACTGCTTAACTGTGAAACTATTGAAATCTAAAGTGACATTAATGTATTCAACACATGCGAAAAGCTGAAAATAGACGTGACACTGGGAAAAGTCAAAGGTCAATGAGACTTGTTGTTGTGAAACATGTCACAATTAGGTTAAAATGCGGAAGCGGATGGAGCGGATCCACGGAACGAATATGCGGAAAAATACGAAACGGATGAGGATAAATTCGTCATTTTAATGATGTAACGACGTAGTGCTTATTATTCATAACATATCTTATACAGCTATTTCAATTATAGTTTTAGATAAATTTAGCATAGCAGTAGCCTCGTGGGGATGCTTTTAGCGACAGCTGCAAATGCAAATGAAAATTTAGAATATGCAAATTTTGGTTGTTGGTGAAACAATTTAAATTTTGAATTGTCTCGTGTAGCATCATAATAAATAGATAAATTGCATCAGTTTCACAAGGCACGTTTCTGGTGCGTTAGGCTTGTTTCAAACGTCACGCTAATCGTGTGGCCAGCGTATTAAAAGCAATAAATAATGAGATGAAATGCCTTTGGTAACTGTTTATTTCGTAGTGTAAGCCATCAGCTTTTCTAGGTTGTCAGCGACCCTATATAGTTCTGGCAGTGTCTTTTTCAATTTGAAACTTCGCACTATCCTTGGATCCCTAGTTTTCATAATGGTTATTTCAATGCCATTAATATTATGACAACATGGATATCCGGGTAAGAATTCAACTCTGCTAAACACTGCCATGCCACCAAAAGGTCTAGTAGTCAAAGAGTGACCATCATTTCTGAACAAGGTGTAACCATCAATATCATACATATTATCATTATCGGACCTCATACATCGAGTTTCAGAAAACATATTGATGTCAGTATTTGTAGAATTAAAATCATGCCGAATATCATCAATATGTTTATGTAATGACCGTGCATTTAGATAGCACAATTTGAATGAGATTTGGTCTGTCTTATAAATAGGAGTAACACTTAGTTTCAGTGTACGTTCATTTCTCAAATATTCCATTTCTGCTGTTACATGGTTTGACAGCTATTTTATCTTCACAAAGGTCAGTTATAAATAAACCTTCAATTGCTGTTACCCTGCTCAAACCAACATAATGCACATGAGGTATTGATCTTCTAGTATTGAAATTTACAACAATATTTTGTTCAGTATCACCTTCTGATCGATGAATTGTCTTAGCTGCAGCAGGTCTAAGGGGAAACTGTTTTCTAACAACTTGTGCAGTTTGGTTTCTACCTACAGCAAATTGTGTTGTAGTTGGCTTTATTGGAGTCCATGTTGACTCGATACCTTGTATATAAAAATGTCTATTTTCATGCCTGGTCTCTTCACCAACATCTGGATGGTCAAACTGAACCCATATTATACCTGATGGTTTATCTCTTTGATTTAATTGTATTTTTTTAACAACATTACCACAACCATTAGTCATGCCGTCATCTGTGCGTACATTTAATGCTATCTCAGTTCTTTCCTCAACTGACAATTGAAGGCTTAAAGCAATCTGTTTAGTTTTTCTTGGATCATCTGGTATTTGACTCAAAATTTTATTGCGAAGTTGAGCTGAGTTAGCTCCTATAACACTGTCTATTGCTTTAATAGAAAACTTTTCACCAGTGGCTGCATTATGTACCCTTTCGTTAATTAAATTAATTTACTTTCTGATTTTGTATGAACAAATGAGGTACATCCATGGGATCTTGGATGCTATTTTTGTTTTATTAACCTTTTTTTAGTTTCAAAATATCATCCTTAGTGTGCTTTCCTTCCCTAAGTCTGTTTAATATTTCAGCAAACACTTTGCTTTCCCTTTGTCTCATAATTTCTTCCAATTTCCTAAATTCTTAAATATATACCTATCCATTACAGGTTCAAATTGAAATAAATCAATAATAAGCTTATACCGCCAAAGTCGACGTCGTCTTTAAGTCCTTTGATATCTTTTAGCCTATTATTTTTCTGAACATTGAACATTGTACTACCGACCATTGAGATCTCATCCAAAAATATTAGTTTTAAACCACCAAGTTGACATCGTAATGTATTTAGTCTGCTTGAATCCAGAGGTTTGTAATTCTTTAAAGATTGACATGCAGGTATTGCAAGTGCACTATGTTTTGTGTTACTTTTAATGTTGTAAGCTGCTTTACCAGTTGGTGCAAGCATTAATATTTTTACTTGATGGAAATCATCACCTACTCTAGTATTATAGTACTTTAATGCTGCTTGATAATGACACTTAGTGAGATGTGACTTGCCAACTCCAGCTCCTCCACTAAGAAAACAGTAAAATGGATTATCTGAAATTTTAATAAGATGCAAAACATGGTAGAAAAATTCCTTTTGTTCTCTATTTAGTTTTTGTACCATTGCTCTGTAAACATCATCCTGTTCTTCATGCAATATCAGATGCTCAGTATTAGATACAGTTGAAGGAATGCCAAGATCACCAGATAGGTCATAGTTTTTATTGAATTCTGGATGCAGGTCTTGCATACCTTCAGATTCATCTTGAAGCTCAATGTTTTGTGTTCCTGGAGCAATTAGGTCATAATTATCATCATTATTTTCGATGTTATTAAGTTGATCTTGAATTTCATTGAGGTCTTCACTACACATAGCATATTGTTTCATTTGTTCATCAATTATAGCTTTAACAAGTACATAACGAGCGTTCTTGGTAAGAAGAACCATTTCCTATCAAGTCAGTTCTTTCATTTCTCCATGATGTGAACAACATGATAAGTTCACGATAATGCTTTTCTGAATCAACTTCCTTGCTAAAACACAAACTTCGAATAATTCTGGCTTCAGATCTTTTTTTATTCTTTTTTTACAACTTTCTTTTTCCTCATTGTCATCATCATTATCATCCATCAAGTTGGTCTCAAGTAGATAGTTATCAATATCAAGTTCATCAGATTGTTTGATGTATGGTTTATCAATGGAGTTATACCATGCAGCCCAATTAGCAAGCGACACATTTTCAAGGCTGGCTGGTCGTTTTATGTAACGTTTTATTAGACCAGATGCATAAATTTCATCCATCTTATTGATCTCTTGTAACGGTTTTAACAAGCGAACTCTTTCTTCTGGGGGTGAAATATTTATAAATACAATTTGGCGAGAACATTTTCTCATTGCAAGGCCTAATACTATATAAACTGCTTTTTGTGCACTTATTTCAACATTGTTTAAAAATGTATTACCAATATCTCTTACTTGTTGCTTAATAGTCATGTTTCCTCTCCTTGTTTCTTCACAAGCTGTCCGCAACCGCTCACTCATGCCTTTTTGAGCCTTGGATATATATAACGCAATGTACATTGCACATGCATATACATCAAGTACAAATTGAATGTCCATATTCGCACACTATGCACTAAGACAAGCAGCATTATAATTATTAATTCTCAATTCATTTGGCTTCCTTTTTAAGAATATAGTTGGTGCGCTAAGGCTGGATCGAACAGCCAGTAAATAATTCTGTTCTGTTACTTCAAGACTTAGCAGCAACTGGTCAAATGTAATATCTTCTCCCTCTTTCATATCATTCAGGTGCTTCTTTATACACTTCCAAGTATCTTTATGTTGTTTAAGTTCATTATCATCCATATCAGTATCTAATGGATATAAAATTTTGGTTGACCTCATAGATGGTTGTGGGTAATTGAAACGACATACACTTTTGGATTTCTTTCGACAAGTGTGGGAATGACGATAAACTTGCCTGTTTACAAGTGCAAGCAATTCTTGATTCTCAGTTAGCTTTTCACATGTGATTATTTTATCAATGAAAGAAATAACATGCCAATCAGAACCTTCACCAAATATATGAGCATTTTCTAGCCATATTAACATATAATACGAGGTGATCCTCTTTGCTGATACTCAACTCTATAGAACCAGTCAGAAATTTTCCCTAGAGGTGCAGCTTCGCTTAGGAGAAAGTTTTGTATGAACTGATATATTTGATAATCAAAGTGTCTAGCAAATGTGACTGGATCACTCTGAATTAACCTGCTTTTCTCTTCCCAGTTGAGGTTTTCAAGTTCATTGTCAGTGTATTCCTTGTTATCAACAAGCTTACCAAGTATTCTTAAAAGATGAACCATTGAGTTTCTACAGAAGAGAAACTACAGAATAATGAAGCAGGTCCTAACTGTCTTATCATTGCAAATATATCCTTTTTAGCTTTTTCAAAATATGGAGGTGAACCTCTTAATGCTCTCAAAAAACTAAACCCCTGATCATGGTGTATTATATTATCTATTGCCCCCGGTTGTTTTAGCTGTCCATCAGTAATTGTAACACCTTTTTGTTAGCATTTTCTTAAGGCAACTTGAGATTGACCCTGCAATAGTTTCATTTGCAGTTTCTTGGTTTTAAGAAAAATATTTTCTACACACATTGCAGCCCTTCGGTCAGACCTCCTTCACTGTGACTTGCACATTTCATTATACACAGTCAGTCTATCTGTGTTGTCTGGTCGTTTCTGGCCAAGAAATATGCCAGGATATGCTAGTTCTGAATATTTTTCTCTGAATATACTTATAGGCCTATTTCCCTCACCAGGTGCAACATTCAAAATATGCTGGCGTTCGTTGTCAGTGTCAAAATCTGTAGATGTTAACATGGTGTCAGTGACTCCAGGAGGTATTTGTGCCTCATCTTCACTCCAATGATCTTCATCATCGGGTGTTTGCCCAGTTTTCAGTCTGCATTACAGTCCATGTTTTCTACATTACAATCTATGTTTTCTGGACCCGCTAATAGTTGATCTTTATCATTTTCGTTAACTGTTAATAAAATATTAGAGTTACCTTCAGTTTTGCAGTCTGCATTACAGTCCATGTTTTCTGCATTACAATCTATGTTTTCTGGACCCTCTAATAGTTGATTGATCGTTATCATTTGCGTTAACTGTTAACAAAATATTAGAGTTACCTTCAAGTCAAGTATCATTGAAAGCTATACCTTCTTCTTTATAAAGATTACCATTAATCACAAGCCATTTAGCTGCTTGTACTACTTTGTTTGGTCTTACATTGAGTGACAAAGCCGAACTTTTGTATTGCAATTTTCTCTTAAGGTCTCTTTAATGGTACCGGTGCCTGTTTCATTTGGTAACCTTGGTAGCATGCCAACAGTGTTTGTCATATCTGCAGGTACATTAACAACGTTCCCATTGATTTTCAATTGTCTTCCTCTAGGTGCTTGCTTTAGTTTCTGAAATGCTAATCTTGGAGCAAGTAATCTACATTCCAATTCATTCAAGTAAAAAAATGATGGTTTTCTAGGAAATTGCATTCCATTCATGGCAGCACAAGGTGGCACTTTATGTACTATTTAAAAAACGAGCAGGAGTGTTTTATTAGGTTTAAAGCCAGGAGCGCGCAGCGCGAGTGGCTTTAGACCTAATAAAACACGACCTGCGAGTTTTTAAATGGCTTCAAAAACGTTTGCATAATAAGTCAAATCTTTATATAAAAATCTTTATATAAAAATCTTTATATAAAAATCTTTATATAAAAATCTTTATATAGTTTGCGTAGCAATGGTCATTTGTTAAAGTGTTCTTTAGCTGGTATAAAGACGTATGCACGTGACTAATTTCTTACTCAAGATTGGATAATTGCTTCATGAATTATTAATGAGTTTTTGAATTTGTTTTAAATACTTATGACAAGTTCTACATAACCATTCAATATTATCAACACTTGTTTTATTCAGAAGAAATTTGACATCAGGATATTTTTTTTAATTTGCTGCTGTGGTTACACTATGCTTATACCACAGTTGATCACAGCAAGTACATACGTACATAGGCCCATTAGAAACACTAGCATGAAATTTAGACACTAAATTAAACCTTCCAGTGATAGATTTGTAGGTCCTACTTGTTTCTTTTTTCGATAGTTTTTCATGTACTCTTTTCGTCTACACCTAGCTTCAAGATCCTCAGTTGATCTCTTTCTTTTCATGCATTCTCTGCTTTTTCTATTGTTTTCCTGTCTAGTTTGTTTGTCCTGGGTTGAGCGTTTGTTTCACATATATTGTGCTTGGTACATTTGTTTTGTTGGAGTACCATAAACTGAGGATAGTCTTTTTTCTCCACTACTGCTAATGTTTACAGTATTATTTCTGTTGTTTATACTGTTTTCTATATTTTGAAACGATTGTACACAATTCTGTTTACTCTGCAAAATATTTGTACTAGAAAGACAGCGTGTTGTTGACACATAATGATATTCACCAAGATGACCTAAGTAGATATCAGTCATTGCTGGTGATGATACTGCTTGTATAATAGTGAATGGATCAAAGCCTTCTTCAGTTTCAATAATAAATATTTTTAAATGATATTGATCCGCAACAGCTTGAATAATCATATCATCACACCATGTACCTTGTACAGACATATTATTAAGATACTGTAACCAAGAATATTCAGTATTACTTTCAATAAATCTGTCTGGATTATCACAAATGTACGCAAAACCTGCTGCTCTAATTTCTAAGTGATGAGTTGCGTCACCATATAACTGGTGTGACACAGCTCTAAAAAAGAAATCACCTTCTCCACCAACTTCAAGTGGTCTTAAGTGAAATTGCTGAAGTCTTTGCTCCAATACAGTCTGAGTAGGACCAGGATTTGTCTCTATATCTCCTGACAGTAAAATATAATTTTTGCAGTCATCATGCTCCTTAATTGCTAAACTGGTATAATATTTACTTCGACCTTTCAGGTTATTTGGCAGATAATATTTAGCAATGTTAGGGGTTGTGCCCAATTTACATTGTTTGGAATGAAACATTAAAATATCTCCTGAATATAATTTGCATGTGTGTATGTTTAATGAGTACAAAAAGGGACTCCAAATTTCGGACACCCAATTTGTTCACAATGGAATAATTATAACAAAATGGCGGTATGACCACAAAACGGGACATCCAATTTCAGACACCCAATTTGTTCGCAATGGAATAATTATAGCAAAAAGGCAGAATGATCATGAGTACGAAAAGGGACTCCGAATTTCCGACACCCAATTTGTTCGCAATGGAATAATTATAACAAAATGGCGGAATGATCACAAATAGGGACTCCGAATTTCAGACACCCAACTTGTTCGCAATGGAATAATTATAACAAGATGGCGCAATGAGTACAAAAAGGGACACCGAATTTCGGACACCCAATTTGTTCGCAACGGAATAATTATAACAAAATGGCGGAATGAGCACAAAAAGGGACACCGGATTTCAGACACCCAATTTGTTTGCAATGGAATAAATATAACAAAATGGCAGAATGAGTACAAAAAGGAATTCCGAATTTCAGACACCCAATTTGTTCGCAATGGAATAATTATAACAAGATGGCGGAATGAGTACAAAAAGGGACTCCGAATTTCGGACACCCAATTTGTTCGCAACGGAATAATTATAACAAAATGGTGGAATGAGCACAAAAAAGGACACCGGATTTCAGACACCCAATTTGTTCACAATGGAATAATTATAGCAAAAAGGCAGAATGATCATGAGTACGAAAAGGGACTCCGAATTTCCGACACCCAATTTGTTCACAATGGAATAATTATAACAAAATGGCGGAATGATCACAAATAGGGACTCCGAATTTCAGACACCCAACTTGTTCGCAATGGAATAATTATAACAAGATGGCGCAATGAGTACAAAAAGGGACACCGAATTTCGGACACCCAATTTGTTCGCAACGGAATAATTATAACAAAATGGCGGAATGAGCACAAAAAGGGACACCGGATTTCAGACACCCAATTTGTTTGCAATGGAATAAATATAACAAAATGGCAGAATGAGTACAAAAAGGAATTCCGAATTTCAGACACCCAATTTGTTCGCAATGGAATAATTATAACAAGATGGCGGAATGAGTACAAAAAGGGACTCCGAATTTCGGACACCCAATTTGTTCGCAACGGAATAATTATAACAAAATGGTGGAATGAGCACAAAAAAGGACACCGGATTTCAGACACCCAATTTGTTCACAATGGAATAATTATAGCAAAAAGGCAGAATGATCATGAGTACGAAAAGGGACTCCGAATTTCCGACACCCAATTTGTTCACAATGGAATAATTATAACAAAATGGCGGAATGATCACAAATAGGGACTCCGAATTTCAGACACCCAACTTGTTCGCAATGGAATAATTATAACAAGATGGCGCAATGAGTACAAAA